AGTAACGGTAAGGTATCTAATTACTTATTTATTTAGTATTCTATAACTTAATAAACAGTGATGGTCAAATTAAAGTAGAGACATGGCAGAAATCCTACAATGAAGCGGGACAGTGAAGTGTTCTCCTGTGAGAGGGCGATCAAGAAAAGAGAGCGAGCGGCGCGTTGAGGGAGTTTACCATGGATATTTAATAGGAGTTTACGGAGCAGATGAAAAGACACAGAAAGACAGAAGCACAATAACAAGTATATGTAAGTGTTTTTTTGTAAATAACCGATGGTGTCAAGAGGAAGTAAAGTCCCTGCCATGAGAATACTCAAAATCCATTTTCCAAAATCCAACACGGTGGTCTTAACGCACCGGCACCAATACAGTAGCCTATAATAAATATATATAATACGTAACATGTGTAATCACACACTTAGCGATATAGAACATAAATAATAAAAACGTAGGCCTACCTGGTTTAAAACACTTTTGTGGTCATACTGTAGAATGAGTTCACACCCTTTATACAGTCTATGGTTCACACTGAAACGAGTTCTTCATTCAAAATGTTGCGGGCAATTACATGTAAGAAGAAGGAGAAGAAGAAGAAGAAGTAGAAGAAGAATGAAGCTGGTGTGTTTCCCGCAGCGAGACACTACAATACTAATTGTGGGCTTATCATGTTGATTCGACCACAACAGAAAAAGAAAAAAAAACTCTCGCTCTCTCCAGAGGGGCAGGTGAGTCAAAAAGGGAAAACGGGCCGTTGCCCGGGCAACATTAGCCCGTACCTGTGCAGGTCCCTGCAGTGGTATATAATGTAATTCAAATAAGCTCCATCTTTACCAGCGGAAACATTATAGTGATGAACACATCAATAAGAATGTATTATTCTGAAATGGGTTAGAAGGTTACTTCTAGTACTTTAAAATACTTAATAATCAACATCTAAAATGCAGTTGAGATTAAAATCACGGAGCCAATCACATTTAAAAAAAAATAGGATGAGTCCAAATTGGGAGGGGGCACTCGTATCTCCCTCAATATTGAAAGTATTAGGTTGGCCCTGTCTGCATGCATTGTTGCAGACAGTAAAATGCAATAACTGTAATGTTGCCGAAGCTTCTTACCTCATTAAAATATAGTTGATGATTACAGTGATGATTCAACAATATGTATATTATACCCTGTATTTAGCTTAGGTCAGGCAAAAATTCCTAAGTGGCATTTTTCTTGGTATATGACTAACCAAGGATCATTATTTCATATTTCAAACATGCCATTTGGTATAGTTGAGCACAATTGGCCACCAAGAGAGCAGTAGGAATCGTTAAATAGCTTATTTTTTCTCTTCACAGTGTGCTGCATCATTTGCATGGCTGGGGAAAGAACACAGTCGACTTCTCACTCTGCAAGGCGCCAAAACACAACAGCATGACGCCAATGCTGGCCAAAGAAACCCGAGGAAACCTATGGATAATTTAGACAAGCTGAACTTTTGAACTCCCTATCATGTTCCGAAAATTCATGTCGGTTGCGTCAGTCAGAAAATGAACACCTAATACAACATACAAATGCTGGAAGGAAGCTGGTGCAATTAAACAATCTATACGTGAGCGATGAGATAATTAGAGGAAAGAAAGGGAGAGAATAGAAACAAATAAAAATGGTTATGTTCCTGCTGCAGAGAGATCTAATGTTAATTTATTATTCATTTTTGGAGCGTGTGCCCTGCTCGCTTGCTAACGAACAGGCTTCACAGTGACAGGCACCGTCTGTGAACATGAGCTACCAGCCAATTTACCTGTTCTCTTTACACTCACCCGCACACACACACGCACACACACACACACACACGAACAGACTCGGTAGACGCTCGCCTCTGAGACAGACATCAAAGGCCCAAGCAAGCCCAGGGAATAAACAGGAAGCTGTCATCGTGTCATGGATTTCAAAATCGGAACTTGGAAGGCAACTTGGGAATTTGTGCATTCTCTCTTCTTAAGGTCAGTTTTCATCCTTCATCTTTCTGTGCTGATTTTTTCCTATAATTCCATCTTGCTTCAGATCTTGATCACCCTGAAGGTAGCAATTAGGGCTGTCAGTCGATTAAAATATTTAATCGCGATTAATCGTATGATTGTCCATAGTTAATCGAGATTAATCACACATTTTTTATCTGTTCCTTATGTTTCTTAGAGGGATATTTTTCAAGTTTTGAAGACTCTTATCAACATATGAGGGGACAAATATGCTTTATGCAAATGTTTGTTTATTATCATTTGAACAATGACAAATATTCTCATGAATATTAAACAACAACCTCTGAACATTACAAATATTCGCCTCAATTCAACCTGGAACCTCTCTCATACAACAATACTGTGTGTGTGTGTCGGCGCAGTTGTTGGAGAAATGCAGCTCCTCTGTTTTCATAACTGTCAAAGCATGAGACTGAAGTTCCCACTGTGGGTCAAAATAATGCGCTGTGACCCCAAGGTAGTCATTACTGAGTGAAGTCCAATAGTCTCCGATGAGTCTTTCTTAAATCCTCCTCTACTTTCGCTTTTTGGACTTCATACAAGTTGTGTATCTTCGACAGAGTGTTAGCTCTGGAAGGCAATTCATAAGTGCAGTCGTTGGATGAGACCCACATTATATCACGCATCCCCTCGTCCTCCACAATGTTAATTGGCCTGCAAGCTGTCGCCACCCATTTAGCGATCTTTGTTGAAAGTTTGCTGCTCGTAGACGTGTCCAGTAGTGATGGGTCGTTCGCGAACGATTCGTTCTTTTTAAACGAATCTTTGAAGTGAACGAGATGAACTGATTCCTCCCACAAAACGATTCATTTGTTTGAGTCGCCGTCTTCCGCCAAAAGCTAAAGAGAAGCTGTTCGCGAACGACAAACTTAAAGAACTGGCGGAAACAGTTCAGAACTGTTTCCTACAGTTCTTTTATCTTATATCCCTTTCTTTCAAGAGGAGGGTCCCGTTAGGGCTCCTCCGAAATACTGGATGTTCCATCTACACAGAGTTGGACTCAGTTAGACAACTACCACAAATACAATGAAGTACTTTACTGTTGGACTCAGTACTAGTTGGACTTCTACCACAAGTAGGCTACTATGAAGTTATTTTACTGTGTACTTTTTCAGTAATTCTCTGTCAAACTCCTGTGGCAGAAAATCATTTTATCAAGGTGAGGTGTAAAATGTGTTTTAATATCATACAGTTTACGCCAGCAAACTTCTTGTACGGACTTCGGCAGTATTGAAGACTCACTGAATGAATTAAGTACAAAGACGAATCGTTCGCGAACGTGCAAATCACCAGAAGTCGTTCGCGAACCGGTGAACGAATCAGTGAGCGAATCTTTAAAGTGAACTGAATCAAAAGATTTGTGTCCCCGAAGGGTATCAAAATGCCCATCACTAGTGTCCAGGGGCCGTATTCACAAAGCATTTTATCTTACCGCTAGGAGTGCTCCTAACTCGAGCTGAAACATTTTACGTAGGAGTTTTTTCTTAAAAGTTATTCACAAAGCCGCTGAGACCTACTCATACTCAGGATAAATCACTAAGAGTGACGCGCCGTTGCTATGGATTACGTTGATTCTCGTGCATGAGTTTAGAAGCGGTCAGTACGGTTATTGGTTGTTCAGAGCAGGCAGTCTCGGTGAAACTCATCCGCAACATCCCACAAACGAGCCCACTAAATCACCGAAAAACAAGGAAATAGCCTAGGCTAGAAATGTATTCCTATCAAATAGTTATGGACAGTGCAGTTAGCAGAATACACGAATGATGACAAGTTTGTGCAGACAACGATAATGACGTTGTATATGCACGTTAAAGAGAGAGAGCAAACAATAAAAATACGTAAATTGCATTAAATCAAGGAGGCAATTAAAAGCACCCTGCAAACTATTATCCAATGAGCATATTTCCAGCACTTAAACACTTTCAATAACAGCCCATACCGCCGTTCAAGTCCCCCTATCACGATGAATGAAAGTGAAGACAAAGTTAAACGCAAGCGAAAGCCCAATTGGTCCCAGGACCAATTGTTACTGCTGGCCCAGTTTGTGCTGGAGAGGAGGGGAATAATAAAGGGGAAATTTGGCTCTGGAGTGACCAGTAAGAAGAAGCGGGAGGCATGGGAAGAAATATGCTTAAACATCAATGCTTCCTTCCCTGCGGTGTGTCGCTCTACCGACGACTGCGAAAAGAGGTGGTATGCGCTGCAATCACAGTGTAGGTCGGAGGTTGACGACTATAAAAGAGCCGTCGCGGCTACAGGTAAGTCCATTATTAACATTGCTTGCATTCATTTGGGAAATGCATTTGCATGATTTAAATGTACAATTAACAAAGGCTACAGTGATATGAAACGTTGTGAATGAAACTGAAATGTAATTTGTTGGAGGAGGATCTGCACCAAAGCCATTGCATGCAATAATTGCAATAGGCTACATGAAAAAACTTTCTGTTTAATATGTACAGAAGAATTACAATGTGCAACTGTTCAACCCACTTCCCAAAAATGTGTTACAAATTATATATATATATCTTCTCCACAGGAGAAATCAAGATGAAAGTCCAGCTGCAGCATCACATCACACAGCTCTTCTCCCCCTCCTAGCTCTTCCTCTTCCAGCTGCACCTCCTCCAGCTGCTCTTCCTCTTCCAGCTGTGCCTCCTCTCCCAGGTCTTCCTCTCCCTGCTCTTCCTCTTCCAACTCGCCCTCTTTGTGCACCCCCTGCCTCTCCTCTCCCTCCTGCTGCTGGTGCCAGTTCACTAGTGGAGAAGAAATTGAGGATGGAAATGAGGGTTTTAAAAAGGCAAAAAAGGTCCTTAAAGCGAAAGAGCGGCTATTACAACTCCGGGTTTCGGTACCGAGAGCCGGCTGCACTGCGGTGGAAACAGGAATTGAAACAAAACATATAAATGTGCATATGAAATAAATGTTATCAACTAGACAAATGTGTGTTGACTGATTTGTGCCAAGGTGTTTACCTAAAATGTGTATTCACAAAGTGATCCCTAAATGCCAGTCCACTCTGCTCCACACGGCCAAATTCATTATCATGTTCATCGCCATCATCATCATCGTGGTCATTGTAATCTGCATCATCATCATCATCATCATCATCATCGTCATCTGGCTGTGGAATGTTCCTCCGCTTGCAGAGGTTGTGGAGAATGGCACATACAGTGATGACTGTACTTGCCCTCTCTGGGCTGAGGCGTATTTCGCCATGCAGGACATGAAAACGACGTTTCATCTGCCCAATTCCTCTCTCCACAACATTTCGTGTATTTTTGTGTGCTCTAAAATATATGGAGGAAAACAGTAAACAATAATAAATATGGATTCAACAAATAAAAGGCGTCAAAGAGCCAATACGATGTTTTTTACGCATAGGACTAAGCGTAATCTGCGTAATCACTTACATGTTATACTTTAACTGTGCTCCCGGTTGTAGATTGAGATAGGGTGTCAAGAGCCACGTCTTGCAGGGATAGCCACTGTCACCCAGCAAGTGACACCCAACTGGTACATGGTGCCTCTCAAAAAGCTGCCAAAGACCGCTCTCCATTAAAATACGCGAATCATGGGTAGATCCAGGCCACTTTGCAACAACATCAAGAATGTTAAAAGTTGCATCAAAAACAATCTGCGTGTTGATGGAATGTACTTTCTTTCTATTGACGAACACGTCCTCATCTTTTGATGGCGCAATTATTTTTATGTGCGTCCCGTCAATAGCACCGACCACACCGGGCATACCTGCAATTGCCATGAAGTTGGCTTTGATCCTGTGTAGTTGTTGATTGTCCAAAGGAAACCGGATAAACTGTTGGATGATATGTGGTCTAGAGAGCGCGTTGATGGTTTGGTTTATGGCACGGCTGACTGATGGTTGCGATATTCCTAAATCGTCGGCATTGCAAAGTTGCATTTTCCCTGTTGCTAAATATCGTAGTGTTGCCAAACATTTTATTTCCGGACTAATCGGGTTATTCCTGTTAGTCGGGGATGTTATTGCATCCCGCACTAATTCCACAACAAGTTTGATACCCTCACGATTTAGCCTATATCTCTTGATCAATTCACAGTCTTCCATTGTCTCCAAAACATTTAGTCTCGCAGCCATTTTCAGATTCTTTGTGAATAGGTCTTACTGAGTTAGGAGTCCTCTCGAGGACTTTTAAGCTCTCCTAAACTTAGGTGCTACTTTTAGCCCTAAGATCCTTTTTGAATACGGCCCCAGGCCTCTCCCCCGCACACTTTCAAGTGTGGTTTGCTGCAAGCGGGCAGCAGGAGCGGGGCTGTCGGCATCAGCAGTGTGCTTGGGTTGTATAGATGGTATTTTAAACTCGATGCTCTGCAACTACGGGGCGGCCGAGGACAAAAAATGCACATGCGTTAATCGCGCTAAAATAATTAGTGCCGTTCATTTTTTTTTGCATTAACGCATTAACTTGACAGCCCTAGTAGCAATGTAACTTAAAAGTCTCTTGTCATGCTATTTGTAGGCGTATATTATGGGTATAAAAAACATGTCTATGATGCGTTTTGCTCAAAATACCAAACAGGGGTTAACGTGATGGTGGCGAGCTCCGTGCCACTCGGTTCTAATTATTTTGTGGGATTTTGTAAACATTGATTGATTGATGTAGTAGGGGTGTGGCCATTCTGGTTATTAAAAATCTTGCCTTTAGGTCCTTTGACTGTGTTAGAGACAGTCAGGGTCGCTATGTGATTGTCATAGCAGTACTCTCTGGTAAGGCTATAACACTTATGAATCTCTATTGCCCTCCTGCTTATCCCACTGGTTTTCTGTCCAAGGCCTTTGCAGAGTTTACAGAACTGAGGACTCCTTCGTGGGGGGTGATTTTAACTGCCATCTTAATCCTTCTCTGGATTGTCATCCACTCAAATGTCCACCAGGCATCAATTCCCCTTCAAAGCAAACTAAGGTGCTCAATTCTATATGTAATGACATTGGGTATTCAGATGTATGGAGGGAGCTTCATCCCACTGACTCAGAGTTTACTTTTTTTTCTGCCCCTCATAAATGCCACACTCGAATTGATTACCTTTTTATTCCGTGTAGGTAGCATTATCCTTTCTGACCACGCACCCCTTTATATGGTATTCTCTTTCTGAGGAAAGGGCATTGTCAAGGCGCTGGAGACTTCAATCATCTCTTCTAAAAGGATGATAATTTATTTTCCTATTTTATGTCAGAATTCAAGGTGTTCTATTCAATTAACTCAACATCTACTGCCAATCCCTCTATCCTGTGAGAAACTTGTAAAGCATACTCTCGGGCTTGATTGTGTCTTTTGTAGCTTCCAAGAGACGCAGAAAGATTGAACAACATAAGATACTTGAATCTACGTTATCTGACTTGGAGAAACGCTACATATCAAGCCCAGGCCCAGACCTGCTTCAGGTCACACGTGCTGCTTTAAAAACTTTACTGATTCAGGATTCTGAGCGTTCCCTTACATTTACCAGACAGATGCTGTGTGAGTTTGGTGATAAACCTCGTAGATATCTGGCCAATCTTGTTAAAAAGAGGGCTGCCTCTCAAATGATAGTTTCTATTACGGATGCCAACAATGTCAGATAATTTGATGCCAAAACTATAACTAAAGAGTTTGAATTATTTTATTCCAATTTATACAAGTCGGAACAGCCTGACAATGCCCTAGCCCTCATTTACAAATTTTTCTCTGACCTGACACTCCCTAAAGCTTCAGAAGCTCACAAATTGCAGCTCAATGCCCCAATCACAAAGGAGGAAGCACTGTTTGCTCTGAAATCTATGCCACCGGGGAAAGCTCCAGGGACAGATGGGTTTGGGTGTGAATTTTAATATATTTTTTAAATATTCTCCTGGATCCCCTGCTAGCTGTGTTGGACCATTCATTTGAAAATGGGATTTTTCTTCGATCACTTAGGGAGGCCAATATCTCTCTTATCCTTAAGAAGGGAAAGAGCCCCGATACATGTGCCAATAGCTCCACTCAATTCGGATCAAAAACTGCTTTCCAAAATACTAGCAATACGTTTGGAAAAGGTTATGCACTTTGGATTTGACTGTTTTTGTGTTTTCCTGTAACCTTGTCATCTGTATTTGTCTATTTCGTTGTTGCCTCTAGAGCAGTGTTTCTCAAACTTTGTCATACCAAGGACCACTTAACTAATAAAAAAACACTTGCGGACCACCTAACTCCACAAATATCCAAAAACACATCGTTTTTT